CTTAAATGTGAATACAATGGAAATAATAAAACGCATGTACGACATCCCAGCATATAACACAAAAACCACAAATAAACCAAGACCAGCAGCAGCAACAACAGGAAAAACAAAACCAACAACGGCAGCAATGGCAGCAACAACAATAGCGACAACAACAGCAAAGACAATGCAAACTTTAGATGGAGCAAAAGGAAAGGATAATTCATTTGCAGCAGCAATTGATGCTGACGATATTGAAAGACGACGTTATGCTCATACGTTGCCAAGTGGTATTTTAATTAAAGTTGTGCAAATCGATCAATTATTCAATAAGCAAAGCAGCGCCACTGTCGGCAGCACCAGCACAGGCAGAAGAAGTGGCTTCAGCAACAACAATAACAACAACAACAATAGAAACGCACAACGTTCAAGTGGTGCCTCAGGTTTTGGTGTTCCGTATGTTGAACGTGTTGGTGGTACTATTGGTGCTGGTCCGTCTCTTCGAAGTACATATATGAATGCAAATTGGTTGGAGCAGAATTTACGTGTTGATATACGTCGCCAAATTGTTGTGTTGGATTTATCGTGTGGCATGGCCAGTCGACGATTATTGGAATTGGTAAGTTCACAATAGTGCACATTCACACGTACACATATTAAACATATAAAAGCAAGTATATATGGATTTGTAATATTGGGAAATTTCGTTTGTTTTCATTTCATTGTGAATTACATTTGATGTTTATTTGCTCAAATAATTCACTATTCTCCTTCATTTTGATGTGTTTCCATTAATTTATTAAAATTAATTTGCAAACAAAAATATTTTATTAAGTTTTGATATAGACTTAGACTAATGACATTTGTGAGTAATTGTTATATTAATTGTTATTGGAAGCGTTCTATAATATATTTCACATAATTGAAATAAATTTAATGGTGCATTGCATTTAAGTTCCATTCATAATTTTAATTACTCAATGAACAATTGAATGCATTTCTTATCCAATTTGGAAATGAAATTCTAATTAATGTCTATTATTACTTTTATATTTGTTAAGTTTAAATACAGGAATGCGTCTTTGAAAACTGCAATTGAAAAGTTCATACAAAATAGGTTTTCGGTCGTCATTGAATTTAGAAAGTTAACGTCAGCACACTGTACCATGGCGCTACATTGTACAGTACAATTTTATTCAAAATGTAATAAGAACCTTGATTTGCAGTAATTAAGTCTCCATACAAAACTTTAACTTATAAACAGGTAGTTTACACAATTGCAATTAATTCAATAAACATTTATATTAAATAAGTGCCATTTTCTATATAAAATCTATACAAATATATAGTTACGTGGTTCGTTGTTTATTAGTGCAAACATAGGAGCAAACTCGTTTCAATAGTATGTTTAGATTATAGGTTAGGTTAGATTGGGTTGGAGTGGCGGCTTTGTACATCAAAGGCCACTTGAGCACAAATAATGTCCCATTGTGATTCCAAGATGCTTAGATTACAATAATGTAACTCATTTTCGGGTTTCTCTGTTAGACTATCGTACTTAATTTATTAATAGATTAATTATTAAAAGATTTATTTAATAAATTTAAAAGCGAACTCTATTTTTTTTAAATTATTTTTTACATTATTTTTAATATTTTGAATTATATTTTATTTTTTTTTTATATTTTTTAATGCTCCCTTTTTTATATTTTTAACTATATTTCTTTTATATATATATTCATATATATTTTTATATATTTTTTAATTTTTAAAAAATCGATTATTATTAATAGATTAATTATTAAAAGATTTATTTAATAAATTTAAAAGCGAATTCTATTTTTTTAAAATTATTTTTTGCATTATTTTTAATATTTTGAATTATATTTTTTTATATTTTTAATTATATTTTTTCTATATATATATTCATATATATTTTTATATATTTTTTAATTTTTTTTTCAAAATTTATTAGAAATTTTTTAAATTAGAAATCAATTTTTTTTTTTTTGAAATTAAACTTTGGTCACTGGAATACTCTGGAATACATAATTTCCATATTGTGGTAGTTTTGCTTTATCTCTTAATTGTGTTT